GCTGAGGATTACCTGCACATAACTTTCAGGGTAACCAGACAATGAGACTCCAGATATGGATTAATTTTCAAAAGGCGTCCGAATGCCTCACAGTGGGGCCCACAAATGATGGAGGCGACTAAAATGGGGAGCACCAACCTTGTTTTCCTTTGAGCCTTTGGACAAAGCCCCTGGTCCATTTCTTGGGCGCCATGTTGAGGGGAATGCCGGAAAGTTCACTGTTAATATACAAGGCACATTGTAGCTGCAGGAAGTCCCAATCTTCCATTATCATCTGAGTTTTGGCTCCGGATATTCTATGCTGAACAGAGAGAAGCCAACCAAAAAAGGCAAAACAAAGAAAGACAGATTAAAAATTATTGGTTGTAACATTGGAAAGTTTACTCTTTTTTTAAAAAAGAGAATGGCTCATGGACAACTTAAGCAATAGTAACATCACTTAGACTTACAATGTATCACAGAAGTGAGTACACCCATTCACATTTTGTAAATATTTAAGTATATCTTTCCATGTGACAACACTGGAGAAATGACACTTTGATACAATGTAAAGTAGTGAGCATACAGCTTGTATAACAGTGTAAATGTGCTGTCCCCTCAAAATAACGCAATACACAGCCATTCATGTCTAAACTGCTGGCAACAAAAGTTAATACACCCCTAAGTGATCATGTCCAGGTGTGTTAAATTTGATGTTATTCCTCTCACTCTCTCATACTGGTCACTGGAAGTTCAACATGGCACCTCATGGCAATGAACTCTCTGAGGATCTGAAAAAACGATTTTTTACACTACATAAAGATGGCCTAGAAAGTGATGGCGAATGCTTTTCTGCTCAGGTGCCAAAAGGATGCATGTGCACGCGATAGCATGTGTGCCCACACCAATAATGCAATGCCCTCCCGTCGCGCATGTGCCGGACTTCCGGTACTTCTGGTACCGGGTTTCCGGTAGTCCCTCCTTAGGCTTCAGGAAAGCCTCCGGAGCTTCTGGATGGCGAAAAATGGGCCCAATGAGCCTACCGGAAGTTTGGAAACATTGGGCCCATTTTTTGCCATCCACAGGCTCTGGAGGCTTTCCTGAAGCCTGGGGAGTGTAAAAACAGCTTCCCCTGGACTTCTGGAAGGCTGAAAATCAGCTGGCCAGCGCGCACATGCGTGCTGGAGCTGACGGCTTGTGTGCCGGCAGATATGGCTCTGTGTGCCACCTGTGCCACACGTTCGCCATCAGGGGCCTAGGCTATAAGAAGATGGCCAAGATCCTGAAACTGAGCTGCAGCATGGTGGCCAAGACACAGCAGTTTAACAGGAGAGGTTCCAATTAGAAAAATAAATAAGGTATCCAGATGGAGACGCAATATATCTTGGTCTGAATTCATGATGAGGAAAGAACAATCTTGAGATGTTCAATATTTGAAATAGTTGAGGCAATATTTCACAATTAATAGGAGACCAGATTCTTGCAACCCCAACAGACAACCAACTGGGAAAAGTTTCTTTCAGGAAGCACTTACACAAGAGCAAGGGAGAAGAGAGGAGAGGGAGAGGAAAAAGGGAGGGGTGAGGAGGAGAGGAAAGAGAGGGGAAGGGAAAGGAGAGAAGAGATAGGAGAGGAGAGGAGAAGAGGGTGGGGAGAAAAGATGGAAAAGAAAGAGGTGGGAAGGGGAGAAGAGAGAAGAAGAGGTAGGAGAGAAGAGGAGAGGGAGTGTAGAAGAGAAGAAGAGATAGGAGAGGATTGGAGAGGAGAGAAGGGAAGAGAACAAGGGGGCAGAGAAGAGAGGAGAAGAGCGGAAAGGGAAAGGAAAGGAAGATAAGAAGCAGGAGTGGAGAGAAGAGAGGGAAGGGAAGGGAAGAGAAGAGAAGAGAAATTGTGGGAGAAATTGACCAACCCAAGAGAAAATCTCTAGGTAAAACTGTGGAACATCTCCTGCAAATATTATACCACCTTTCATACTGATTTGAGATTCATTGTCCAAGCTACGTTAAACATGATTGATAAGGAATTTCAGGAGTGCTACTTGTACTTCGTATCTTCTGTCGGCTGGTTCATTTTGTTCCTGTAGCTCTTTCTAGTCTTTATATTTAACTACAGAACTTTTTTTTAAAAAAAA